ATTGGATTGTGTTTTAATTTTACACACAGAGCAGTTGAAATCCCTTTAGGAACAGAACTCACTTTGACCCAAATAATAATTTTCCGAGAAAAAAAAATTGAACAGCTTTTCATTTAGTGCTCTTAAAAGAGAGAGGCGGAGAACCTCTTGGGCTGATTGCTAGAAATTAAAGGAAAAAAATAACAGAGAAAAATGGTTGAGATATTGCAGTCAGGCCTGGCTTTTTTCCAGTTGTTTTTATTGTTTTATAATGGTTTCTTATGTATTTTTGGTTCGTGACGATTTTCTGCAAAATATGTTTTACATACATTATTTACTGCTCTTAATTTTTGATAAGAGCATATCTGAAGGATAGTGACTTTTTACTTTCAGTGAATAAAAACCTGCGCCAAAAAATAGGGGCGCAGGTGGCTTCCACAGGACACTGGAAGGGGCAGTAGCTGTGGCCTTTTGGTAGGATCCCAATTTCGTCGGTCATCCGACATGACGCCGGGAGTGACCGACTGAAAGGGAACGTCTCGGTTACATATGTTAACCCTCGTTCCCTGAAGGAGGGAACGGAGACGTCACGTCCCGTCGCCACAGCTCCTGTACCACCGCTGAGCGGCCGGGTCACCGGCTCGGCTCCTCAGCGAAAACCTGAATATGCGCTGCATCTGCTGCCTACTTATACTCACGCTGTGATCAGCAGCAGCTGGATGCAATAATCGCATGCCAATGTGCATTGGCTCAATTAGTTTACACTCAAAGTAGATTGGTCCCTCTAAGCGAGATCCCAATTTCGTCGGTCATCCGACGTGACGTCTCCGTTCCCTCCTTCAGGGAACGAGGGTTACCATACGTAACCGAGACGTTTTCTTCACAAGAAAAGGATAAAAATGTTGTCTATTATTACGACAAAGATGTACTTAAAATAAGGGCAGCTGTTGTCCCTAAAATAAAATAAAATAAAAATAAAATAAAGTTTTGACATTAACTATCAAAATACTGCAGACAACCTCAAATAATTTTTTCAAATAAATCTGCCAAGAATAATTCTAAAATAAAAAATATGATTTGTCCACTGATTATGTGACACTGAAGACTGGAGTAATGGCTGCTGAAATTTCAGCTTAAGAATGAATTTTCTTTAAAAATGTATAACAGTAAAAGACAGTTACTTAAACTGTAATAATATTTCACAATATTACTGTTATACTGTACTTTTGATCAAATAAATACAGCTTTGGTGAGCATAAGACACTTTTAAAAAAATGTTTCAATCCCAAACTTTGGAATGTGTGTAAATTATCTTAAAAACCTGTCGTACATGTTGAGGTAAATGTGGTGGTTTCTTCACAAGAGTGGGACACAAATTCAGATCACTTCAATGAGATGTTAAAACCAAATTCTTAATTTTGAGTCATGCAATATAAAGTGATTTTAAATCGCAGTTACAAGATACTATTTTTTCCTCATTTTCAGCTCCTTGGCAAAAACAGTGTGTGGGGGTACAAGAGGGGGCCTCCAAAAAAGGCTGATGCCTTAGGGCCAATCTAATCTGTCCTTGCTTTTGATCAACGTTGTTCCCAGAGATTTTGCTGCTACGGTAATGTTGGCATGTACGATATTCACCAGCATTCCCAGAAATGTCAAACCTCCCCCAATGCTGCCTTTGTCCCAGATTAATTGCCAAAATTACCCTTCTGTCAAATCACTTCCATTCAATTAACTGTCAACTAAACAAACTCTAAATCTGGCCCTACTCATGGACAAGACAGGCTCTTTCCAACAACTCCAGGCGTTCGAGCTGACAGGTACAGATGCAACCAAATGAGCTTCTAAATATAAGCAAGAGAGAAAATTATGGGAAGCACTGTACAGTCGTCTTACACAACATTGTCTCTCACCTTTATGTTCATTAATTTTTGGTCTTTTTAAATACTATTATTTATGTCTGCACTATTTCAAAGTAAATCATAATGTAAATGTTTGTGATAACCAAATTTTATCACTGGACAATGATTCTGAACTCTCTCTATACATCCAGGCTTCTCCATTTTTTTGTGATTTTATGATTATGCTCCTATACTGCAATGCTTAATAGCATTTTAAGGCTTACACAGATATCAGTTTCAGTACACATTTTTTTTCAAAATGCAAAGAGATTGACAGTGACAAGAAAAGGAGAATTAGGCCATGTGATCTTGTAATATTAGTTTGCATGCAGCTACATTGCTAGAGAATTGTCTGATATCTAGACAACTTGATCAATAAGAATCTGATACTTTTCATTCATCGTAATTGCAATATATAGCAACTTCAGAATGGCTGTCAATGCTGAAAGCATTGGTAGTTACTGTATTTTCCAGCAGTGGCTAACTATGCTAACTCAAAGCCCTTGACCCCTTGGTCTTTCTCCTGATTAAATGTGTCTAATGATCTGTAGAACAACAGCTCATTAAGACCTTGAGACCAAGCAAAACTGGGACTATTTAGTACACCGAAGGCAGACCTCATGTTATATTCAACACAGCACAGTCTTTGGTTTTACATTCACAAACACACATTACTACTGAAATGGGCTTATATCTGTGAAACAATATTTATGTGTGAGAGTATATAAAAGAATATAAAAGCACAAAACTGATATTTTAAAACCAGGCCAATCCCAGATCTTTAGCAAGCTCAGCAAAAAGAGAGACAGAGTGAGAGATAAATGGATTGTAATAACAGAATCATAAGGGCTTGATGCCAAGCTGCAGTACCGCTACCTGAAAACTGACTTCAGCCGAGAGCTTCATCCGTCTTTCTTTTGTAGAGAACGGGATCAAACCAGCAGGACCGTAATACAGGGAGCTGCACTCTTTACCTGTGCAGGTACATTCAACTCTCTACTTCCTGGAAACAAAGAGGGAGGGAACATTAAAATACGATGATTAAAATGATTAAAAGAAATAAAGTAAAAATTATTAAAAAAAATTTTAATATAAACAAAATGAAAAGAAATACAATATATGTGCATATACATACAGTATGTGATCCTTCAGAATCATTCTAATATGCTGATTTGCTGATTTATTAATAATGTTGAAAACATGCTGCTTAATATTTTTGTGGAAACTGCGAAACATTTTTTTCAGGAATTTTTTTTTAGGATTCTTTAATAAATAGAAAGTTTATAAAGTAAATAGTAGTTATACAGTAAATAGAAGGTTTTAAAACAGAAATTTCTTGTAACAATGTAAAAGTCACTTTTAATACATTTTATGCATCCTTGCAGAATAAAATATTTAATTTCATTCAAAAAAAAAAAAAAGGCCCCAAAATATTTGTGTGTGTACTGTACACAGTAGCTTTTTAAGTGAACCTCAGAAGAAATAAATACAACAATACCTTTAAAAGGATACAATCCTTAAGAACTTTTTCAGATTTGGCTTTCACTGTCATTGTGGTGTCCTGATCTGCAGAGTGATCTTGTTTTGCTGAAGAGAAGATCAGGTTAAGTAGTCCAGATGCGTTTCGGTCATAAGCCTTCCAGTCCTAATATAAGGGACTTTGTTTTGAGAGTTAAAACTATCATTTATAATGTTATATATATATATACAGTGGTGTGAAAAAGTGTTGGCCCCCTTCCTGATTTCTTATTTTATTGCATGTTTGTCATACTTTAATTTTTTTAATTCTTAAAAAAAATTTTATATTATTTAAAAAAAAAAAAAAAAAAAAAAAATTACAGGCCCCAAAATATTTGTGTGTGTACTGTACACAGTAGCTTTTTAAGTGAACCTCAGAAGAAATAAATACAACAATACATTTAAAAGGATACAATCCTTAAGAACTTTTTCAGATTTGGCTTTCACTGTCATTGTGGTGTCCTGATCTGCAGAGTGATCTTGTTTTGCTGAAGAGAAGATCAGGTTAAGTAGTCCAGATGCGTTTCGGTCATAAGCCTTCCAGTCCTAATATAAGGGACTTTGTTTTGAGAGCTAAAACTATCATTTATAATGTTATCTTGCATATGCGAACAAAACGTTGCAGTTTACTCTTACAATTATAATTTTTTAATTTACCATTTTTTATTAAGGTTGCATATAATACAGTCAACAGATATACAGTGGTGAAGCTGCATTTCAGGCCCAAAAGCTGCTACTGATGCTATATAAAATAAAACAAACCCAGTAACATTCAGTGGAACATAAATGAAGGCCATAAAATCCTACGCGCTCCAAAATCCTTGACCAAAAAATCAGAAATGAAAACTGGCACATGTAAGTTAAAATGTATAGAAAGACAGACCTGTGCAACACTGATAACCAGTGCAGGTTTTTTTCCTTCAGCTTTATCTCAAGAGTGATGTTCAGGTGCTTTAAGGCAAAGTTCTTGAGTGCTGTTGAAGTCATTCATGCATATGTAAATGTTTCAAACACAACACATTCTTCCTCAGTGATCTGTCATGCTACATTTTGTTAAAAACCTAAATGTACATTATGGTGATATCAAGACAATCAACAGTTTCTTTCATTTACACATTGAAAATAAGCATTCTGTGAGAATAAATAGATCTGCATGCAGTTAACTGCATAATATACAAGCATTTAAATATCAGTTGTACAGACGTCATCAGGGTTGTACATTTTTGGCAAGCCAGAACCCAGCTGGACATGCATTATATATACAAACTTGCGCTGAAAAAGAGGGGAAAACAATAGTTCCTGCATTACTTCAGTGTGCAAAAAAGTGCTGATTGAACATTAAAAAGCACTAAAACTAAAAATCCTCTTATTTTTGTATTTCTCAGTACATGCCACTGTACTCTGATGGGGTTAGTTCCTGGCAGTTATTTAGATCCAGAAACCAACTCCTGTTCCCATACAGATGTTCAGTTGTCAGTTTTATCCTCAGAAATCAGAAGCTAGAAACCAACCCAAGCTCCTATTTTGGGTGTTCCTGTATAAGCTGCAGATACAGGTGCCAAATGCTTCCTTCTCAAATGCTTATTGAATGCAAAGTCTGCTTTCCTATGGCAAAACCTCATCCTTTTCAGAGTCTGGCTTACTGAGTGTGGACACTGGGATGCTGCCTTGTGCTTTGAGTTTGGGTCTGTGCATTTTTGGGGTTGGGTCTTCACTAGACGTGGGCTTTGAAGTCTCTAGAAGCAGTCTGAGAATCTGTCCAGCCCGTTCTTCTAAAACTGCCATCCTTCCGTTCAGAGCTTGGATCTCTGTCCGCAGCTCCAGCCTTGCCTCCTGCAGCGCGGCCTGGAATGAGCTCTCGCTACTGGGGTAAAAATCCTGGGCTGGTCCTTCTCCTCCACCGACTCCGGGAACAGGGCTCTGTGGTTCTGAAACCCTATCCAGTCTCTGGTCGCTGTAAGTCAAGCCACTATCCCAAGAGTCCGTTTTGCGCAGCGAATTCTTTCTGGATGTTTCAACCTCCTCAACACTTTCGATCTGAACTTTGACTTCTGGTGAAATGTGCTCCATGGACACAGCTTTAGCTGCATTGTTCAATCCCTCCTTCCTCTCATCTTCTGGGGGTGAACCAGGGGCAGCCATGTTGTTTTTCAGTCTCATCCAGCCACGGGCAGTTCCTGCGGGTTTGGTCCACGCTGTGTTATTCACTTTGAGTCGATTTGCGACTTGGTCACCACTGGCCACGGCAGGTTTGAGTTCCATGATGTCACGGTTGTTCTGCTTAACTGAGTCACCCACTTTAGGGTAGGCCAGGCAGTTCTGGATGGGTGTGATTTGGGAGATGGTGACCACGCTGCTGGTGGACCCGTTCTGAACTGCATGCAATGAGTTCTGCATGAGGGAGGCATGAGGTTTCGCCATGCGTGTGGGCTGCTGTAGATGCTGCTGATTTTTCTCTAGGTCCAGCTGGGCCGAAGCGCCCTGGTTACGGAGCTCTTTCTGCTGTTTAAACTTCTGAAAAAGTTTTCGGACCGGGTGGTCCACAGGAATGGTGAGTGGAACCTCATTCTTTGAGCGCTGCCTCTCTTCTTCCTCCTTCTTCACATCGATGATTTTACGAAATATAAACTGGATATGGAGAGAAGAAATACCATCAGTTAGATAGGAAATGGCATCTATGAGAATTTTGGAATCAACAAAACTTTCATTTACAGTGAAGATAAAAATCAGAGAACAACCTACGTTCCTAAAGTTCCTAAACTTCGAGGCCACTGCTTAAAGTCCTATTTTAAGTTATCCTAACAGGAGTAAAAGTGCAGTTTTTTTAAGCACATTTCATGAGTTTAATATATTCTGAATTGCAGTATAAAGACTTTAAATAAGATATTTGAAAAATAATTAGAGAACACTTTATTTGGTGTTAATCTCGTGCTAATTTCCTTAATTATCTGTCAAACTCTATTTAACTGACTGCCTAACTTTCCAGTTTTCACTGACTTTGCAAGACGGTGATCCGTTCTAAACAGACTGAAACACTCCGACAGCAGGTTGTCCAGATGAAGGCCAATAGCAGCCATAGCAAGAGAAGTTGGTCATTCCAAGTCTGTGATTTCTAGAATATTGCATCTTTACTGTGTCACTAACACATTCAAGTCCACCAAAAAGGCTGGTTGTCCACGAAAGACAAATGCACGAGAGGACAGAATAATGTGGAGACTCTCAATGGGCAATCGGTTTAACACTGCAGCTGGAATTGCTGAATTCATTCAAAGCAAGGGCCTGTACACTTCCTACTAATTTTTGACTGCCGTAACCTACAGAAATTTTAGTTGTAATCTAAATTCTCTAATTTTGATCACCGTGTTTCCAACGAAATAATAGGTTTTGTTGAAGTGTCTTGGTTATTTTGTAAAACACAGTTCTACTAGCATGGTATAGCCACAGTTAAAATTCCTTCACATTTTGAATGATGAAGATTAAATTATTTCTGAAAAAATCAATTGATCTCCACTGTAGAAAAACAGTCCTTTGGTGTAATTTGACCAAATTCCTTGTTTGTAAGAGCCGAGTTACTAAAATCGCATTTAAAAATCATAATCACAAAAATGGTATTAGAAAAGACAAAATGTTTGAATATTCAACATAAAATAGTAACATGAATATCAACAAAGAAATGCATACCCCAGTATAAAAATTAAACATTTAACATATAATAACAGGCATTTTAGAATTCCAGGGTATTAGTGAAAATGTGTACTGTGTACTGTGATTTAAATTATAGATGTTTTATCTTCTCCCACCGTCACACTAAAGCTTCCATTCCGTGTCTTGCCATGGTCTGCCCACAGACTACATGTGTTTGGAGATTCACTCTTAAATTATGCATCTGTTGTTCTCTTCACCCCCTCTTTGTCTTTTTACTGCCTTTCTCAGTTCTCATCTTTTTATAATTTTTTCACCACATGAAAATCATCAAGTCCTTTACTGAAACTAATTGGTGGTGATGGATTCATTTAGTTCAGCTGATAATCCTCACCCAAATCTATCTATCTATCTATCTATCTATCTATCTATCTATCTATCTATCTATCTATCTATCTATCTATCTATCTATCTATCTATCTATCCATCCATCCATCCATCCATCCATCCATGCCATGTTGAACTGAATTAGGATGCAAAATCAACCTACAAATGGCTAACTTGTCTATTCACATTGAGCTGGGATAGGAACAAATTATAATTTTTTTATCACCCATTTTCCTATTTTACTAAAGAATCTGTATTGTTTTGAAGAATCCGTACCGAGTGTGTTTGACTCTTAAATCTGAACACAAACATATAAAACTGATGGATTAGTTCAGACACTGGAGCTCACAGAAAGAGAACGTATTTTATTCTCTTTTGCCCTTTTTCTGAAAGTCAGCAAAACAAGAGCTGAACACTGCAACATTCTCTGTTTGAACATTACAATATTTTCTGTCCCACTGAGGCTTCGTTTGAGATCACACACCTTCCTCTGACACACAAAGCTCCTGGTACAGCTTAGAGTTATTCACACAAAACCAACAGAAATTATTTAATGAGTTCCAATCACAGAAGGAACTGCAGGTTTTTGTGTTGTTTTTTTAATAACGCTGGGAAATGAAAGCTCATTAGAACCTATTCCTTCTGACCCCTTTTAAGGCAGTAATTGCTTGTACGCCTTTTTAACACATCTGCAAACCAAGTTTTATGAACAACACAGTAAATTTGATTTCACTAACTGTGGTAAAGCTGGGGATGTACTGGCCATAGAGAGCACAGGGATGCTGGGACTGTTGTCTTGTAGGCTTGTCAAAATCAATTTAAACATATAAAGCAAAAACAAAGATTAGAAGAGAGAAAAGGTTCTGATATCTTCACGCTGGTCCATTTACGCCAATGTTGTGGATTCGGGCACAGAAAACATAGATAACCGCCTAAAGCAGCAAAGTTCTCTAGCCTGTCACTGGACAGTTAGTGACTGGCCCCTGCTTCGACTGGTTTTTCTCTTTCTTCTTTCTGACCTCCATCGCTCCCTGTGACAAGAGTCCTCAGAGAAAGGTTCAAATTAAGGCAGAATCTCTTTCATGATGTTGTAAGTGGACATAAACCAAGCAATTAGTGCATGAAGAGCATGTGAGTGATTAGGAGAGAGAGGCTCTACTTAACTAAACCTCAAAAACATGAACACAATTAACACTATGGCTTAAAAGTAAATGCAACCAATAGAAGTAGAGAAGATTTACAGCATATTCTGTAATTCTCAATCAGTAAATGGCATTGACTGCTGCAAAAGATGAGATAATGCGCATTATGACATTGCAATCGTGTACCCTCTTGCGGAAAGGACACAATGCAATTTTGTAATATGCATATTCAGATTTGTGAAATGCATATGGTAATATCAGAGAAATTAACATTGCCAGAAGGCATATTGTATAAACAATTACCGCACAAAGAGGTGCACGACAGAAATAACAACATGAATATCTTTCATATCAGAAGAAAGAGGCAGAAGAAAAGGCATTTATAAACTCATAAACTCCAGCCTCGGTCTGGGTCAGAGCCATTATCACATTCTTTACGGATCCGAGCAATGATACGGTTCGAAATTTTCAAACGGACCGACTCACATTCACCTCAAAGGACTTTAGCATCTCACTGCGTCTAAACAAGAGACAGCGGTGGCTGACCTGACTGTCCTTCCCTGAAGGAATATCACACACAATGCACATCACAGCAATACGCAACTTCATGCTTTTCTTGGAGTATTAAAGCACTCTGACAACGTCCTTTCCATATTGGAATGGCTATTTTAAGATTCTACTTCTGATCTTGGAGCGACAGAGTGAAGGATTTGCGCACTGGTGCAACTGTCAACAGAATAAGAGAATGAGAGATAAAAAAAACAGCTGTTATGACGCATGTGAGTGCTGAGGTCAGTGGAGCAATTAAAATACTCCAGCAACCATAAGACAGACATCATATATCCATTATACCAATACCTATCAGATTGTCTACCTCTGTAAACATGTTTAAAACACATCTTAAGACATATCTGCTTAATGAGGCCTTTGCTGCTTTATGAGGACTACTGGTTTGGATTAGATGCATTTAAATTAGTTTATTTTTGCTTTATTTTAGTATCTCTTTCTTTGTATTTTTTTTAATTGAACAGCACTTTGGTACACTCTGTGATTTTAAGGTGCTTTAAAAATAAATTGCGATTTGATTAGTTTAATTTAGTTCTCAAGAAACATTTCTTATTATTATGCTGCTTTTTTTTCAAAATTGTAATGCACTACCATTCAAAAGTTTGGTGTTAGTGATTTACTTATTTAAAATAATAATAATAATAATATTTTTATTCAGCAAGGGATATACAGTATGTAATAAATTGCTTAATTTGAAATGGTTTTATGTTTAAGAGAAAGTAAGTTTATAACGTTACAAATAATTTTCATTTCAAATAAATACTGTTCTTTTGAACTTTCTATTCATCAAAGAATCCTTAAAAAATCTATCATTGTTTCCACAAACATTAAGCAGCAAAAACTGTTTTCAACAGGTTTTGATAAGAACCATTATTGATATTTAAACAATAATGACTGAGCTCCAAATAAACATATTAGAATGATTTCTGAAGGATCATGTGACTGACGACTGAAGCAAAAATGAAAATTCAGCTTAGCCATAAAAAAATATTGTAATATATTAAATTACTAATATAATCAAATTATTAATATAATAATATTTACATTATTTTACCTTACTGTATTTTTGTTTTTAAAAAATGAGCATAAGAAATCTTTCATAAACATTGAAAAAAGCACACACACACACACACACACACACACACACACACACACACATATATATATATACACATACATACATACATACATATGGGACATTGAAACATACACACACACATATGTATATATATATATATATATATATATATATATATATATATATATATATATATATATGAGAGGCACATCTATGGTTATTCTGAACGTGTCACTTGTCAGTCCTTTCCGGTTTGAGGTTTGAGTGACTTAAAATGACATAGAAGCCTGTTAGCAACACAATTGCATAACATAACTTGGACATACACACACATAAACTGCCATCCCCGCAGTGGGGAAGTGTCTTCTCTCTGACGAGAGGTAATTGGCTCAAAATGTGTCCACAACGTTTACTGCTGAGAATCACTGACAAATGCTTCAGACCCTCTTACTGTCACATTACAGTTAAGAGGAAACCAGGTGTGCTCACACACACATAACTCCTCCTCATTATATACTAATAGACAATGTAACCCCATCTTAAATGTAAGAATCCCCACACAGGTGGAGAAATAAATAAAATTCCCTTGACATTACGGCAGCAAAAATATCACACACACAAGCTTTCAGATATACAGCTGCCACATCACTCCAAGTCCCTTTCACGCATTATTGCCAGCAAGTAAAAAAGCTGGGCCGCTCCGCTCCTCCATCAATCTCTCACTCTCTAGAATATTCCGGAAGCACTCGAGAGAGAAGCCATTATTCCAAAGAGAAAATCGGCAGGGGAGTCTCACCTTCTTGCCTGAGGAC